GACCAAAGCCTGGTCGTATCCCACTAGACAAGGACCAGTGTGCTTATTACAAAGAAAAAGGACATTGGGCAAAAGACTGTCCTAAAATGGCCAAGAAAAACAAAGTGCAGCGACCCCCTCTGGCCGAAGTACTTGCCCTGCACGAGGACTCAGACTAGGGGGGATGGGGCTCAGAGCCCCTCCCTGAGCCTAGGATAACTCTAAAAGTGGAGGGGAAGCCAATTAATTTTTTAGTCAACACTGGGGCCCAACAACACTCAGTGTTACTGGCACCATCGGGGCCACTTTCCAAGAAAAAATCTTGGGTCATAGGGGCAACCGGGCATCAGCAGTATCCATGGACCACCAACAGAACAGTAGACCTCGGAAGAGGCCTAGTGACCCACTCCTTTTTGGTCATTCCTGAATGTCTGGCACCCCTCCTTGGGAGAGACTTACTTACCAAAATGGGGGCACAGATTAATTTTACCCCACGGGGTCCAAAGGTTACTACGGATGTACAGACATTAGTCCTAACTGTAAGCTTACAAGATGAACACCGGCTTTTCGAAAGTCAAGATAGTAACACTGGCTCCCTTCATGCTTGGCTGCAAAAATATCCTAAAGCCTGGACCAAGACAGCTGGAATGGGGTTAGCCACCAACAGGCCCCCAATACTGATAGAACTAAAAGCTACAGCTACCCTTGTGGCTCTACGCCAATATCCTGTGACCAAAGAAGCCTGAGAAGGTATCAGGCCTCACATACAATGCCTCCTACACCTGGGTATTCTAGAAAAATGCCAGTCACCTTGGAATACCCCCTTCCTGCCCGTAAAAATACCCAGCTCAAATGACTATCGTCCTGTGCAAGACTTGCAGGAGGTCAATAAGCAGGTTCAGGACATCCATTCCACGGTACCTAACCCATACAACCTGCTAAGTTCTCTTCCTCCAGAACGGGACTAGTATACTGTCTTAGATTTAAAGGACGCTTTCTTCTGCCTGCAACTGCACCCCTCCAGCCAGAATATATTTGCCTTTGAATGGAGGGACCCTGACACTTTGGTCACAGGACAATTAAGATGGACCCGCCTCCCTCAGGGCTTCTGACACTCACCTACTATTTTTGATGAAGCGCTCCATCAGGACCTTGCACACTTCTGCATCAGCCACCCTGAGGTAACCCTCCTGCAGTATGTAGAGGACTTGTTGCTCATAGGAGCAACCAAAGAAAAGTGTCAGCAGGGCACTGGACTGCTGCTAGAAGAACTGGCCCACCTAGGGTATCGTGCCTCTGCTAAAAAAGCCCAAATCTGTCAACAAGAGGTAACATACTTGGGCTATACTTTACGGGGTGGAAAGAGGTGGCTCACCAAAGCCAGGAAGCGGACTGTAACCCAGATCCCCGTTCCTTGCACGCCCGGCAAGTGCAAGAATTCTTGGGGACGGCAGGATTCTGCTGCCTATGGATACCAGGGTTCGCCGCTATGGCCGCTCCTCTTTACCCGCTGACTAAAGAGGGAGCCCCCTTCGAGTGGGGCATTGACCAACAATGGGCTTTTGATGATATAAAAAAAGCCTTACTATCAGCCCCGGCTTTGACCCTGCCTGATGTGACAAAACTTTTCACTCTATATGTAGATGAAAAAAAGGGGGTGGCCCGAGGGGTACTACTGATGCAACCTTTAGGGCCTTGGAAAAGACCAGTGGCCTATCTCTCAAAAAAACTGGACCCAGTGGCTGGGGGATGGCCGGCTTGCCTGAGATCGATAGAGGCCATGGTGACACTGGTAAAAGATTCTGACAAATTGACTATGGGACAAAATTACTAGTCATTGCACCCCAAACTTTAGAGAGCATCATCCGGCAGCCCCCTGACTTATGGCTGTTCAATGCTCGTATGACCAGAGTCTCTTGTTAGACAAGGACAGGGTCCAGTTTGGACCCTCGGTCACTCTTAACCCTGCCACACTGCTGCCCGAGACCTCCGCCAAGGG